ATAACAACTCAAAATTTTCTAGCAAAAATAATCCTCAAAGTTAAAAACCAATACATTTTTATTTCTCCTAAAGGTGACGATAGATACACCCATAACAAATTACCACATTATCGTAATACAAATTCATCTACTCAGAATTATATAAGTTAATATTTATATTAATTTAGTAATATTCCAATTTATATATATAAAAAAAAATAAAATATTTTAGGATTTTAAATTAAAAATTGTATTATTGTGTTGTTAAATTGTATTTTAATTAATTTTATCTCACGCATTATACTTAAAAGTTAATTTTATAATATCAAGATATATAATGTATTATGATTTTAAAATAAATAAATAAGTGTAATAAATATAATATTTTGAAGAATGATGTAAAATACATTATTTATAATTTAAGGCATGAAATTTTGTTTAAAAGTAGCTTAATAATAATAATATTGAATTATTTATGTACAATAACTATTATATATTAATTTATGTATGAGAATGCATTGTTATTTATGTGCATCTTGTGCATTGGAGAAAAACCATTTGCATTTTATACCGACAGGTTGGATAGACTTGAGAGATCGTTGGCAATGCTCGGTCCTCGTGGAAATACTACTGGAATGTGGCGTGAAAGGTAGACTGTGTGAATGTTATTGAATGAAACACAACAAACACTAACTTATACATAATTTTAATCTTTTATTTCTTTCTTACTTATTTTTTATTAATACTCTATTTATATTTTGGTTTTTATTATATTTATTTTAAGTTTTTAACACTATTTTGCTGTGCTTTTAATGTCATACTATAGGTGTACGTGCTATAAACAATTTAATACATTATGTTTTTTGCTCTATTATAATTATGTACCAATTTATTTAATAATAACACAAATATTTAAACACACATTTTTAGCATTGGTGTTTTATTTTTGTTGATTATATTTCCACATTAAGGTTAGGCATTTCGAATAGTAAGGTAACACATGTATTTATTTGTTAGTTTCAATATAGTACTCTAACACCACTGCATGAGTAGATTCTATAATAATTTAATTAATTTTATTTAGATTAACTATAAGTATTAATTATAATTTTTATCATTACTCTCATGTTTAATCAGTTGAAATTTATTATAATTCTGTTATACAATTCTAAAATATTAACTTTTTTTCATTGATTATAAATATACTTTCTAATTAATCAATTATAAATAGGTATATACTATAATATTGACTAATAAGTAATAATAAGTTCCATTGTGTAAGTTAAAAATTTTTATTTATAAACTACTTTGTAAATAAAATTGAATTTTGAAATTTATGTTTATTATACAATGTAAATAACAGCACTAATTTTAAATTTTGTGTTTTTTAAATTATAATTTGAACGGCATTGGCATTTGTACAGAAAAAGCCGTTGGAAAAAGTAAGTTAAATTTAGTACACAATTAATATGTACTCTATAGATAGAGTTTGTGTATTTTATCATTACATCAGTAGAATATGTTATAAAATACAAACAATTCCTTTAAAATATTACTGATATTTTTAATTTTTGATTTTTTAGCATGTTTGAATCATTTAGGGCATGAGTTGATTGTAGGATATACCTAATCGTACTGACTTTAATTAGCACATCATCTATTAATTTTCTACTGCACTGTTTTATTTATTTTTATATATTATATTTTTAAAAATAATATTAATTGTTTATTTTTTATTTTAGTTTCTTAGTTAGTTTTTTGGTGGATGCTCGTGGAGGAGCAATGCGAGGATGCAGACAATCGGGTGTTAGAGTGATTATTCCACCTCGAAAAGCTCCAAGTCCTATGCGAGTTACATGTCGATATTTGCGGAGAGACAAAATGGTTAACCCACCACCTTTGATGGAAGGAGAAGCATTAGCCAGTAGAATACTTGAACTTGGCCCAGCTGGAGCAAAATTTTTGGGGTATTTTTAAATTATAATTTAATTTTTAATATTTAACATTGTAATATTGTTTTAATTTTTAATTTTATATAGACCTGTTATCATTGAAGTACCTCATTTTGCATCATTGCGAGGAAGAGAAAGAGAACTAGTTGTATTAAGATCAGAAAATGGAACGACATGGAAGGAGCATAGTTTGGAAGCTAACGAAGAAGCTGTGCAAGAGGTACTCAATGATAGCTTTGAAGGAGAAGAACTCAGGCAGATTGAAGACCTTAGAACTAGTCGCATTGAACGAATACTGACATTAGATTTTCCTCAATATTTTGCTATTATTTCAAGATTACGTCAAGAAATACATCCTGTTGGCCCAGAAGGGGGAGTAATGTCTTCTACTGTTGTACCACAGGTACAAGCATTATTTCCAGCCAACGCATTAACAAAACGTATAAAAGTTGGCCTACAGGTAAGAAAATTTTATAATTCCTCATGTTCTTGATGTACATTTTTTATTAAAATTATCTAGGCTCAACCCATTCCTGTTGAATTGGTAGCAAAATTATTTGGTAATCGTGTCGCAGTGTCTCCTGTTGTAACCATTGAACCTCGTAGAAGAAAGTTTCATAAAGCTATTACTCTGACTATTCCTTTGCCACAAGCCACTACTAAAGGAATGATAAACCAATATTCAGGCGATGCTCCTACATTGCGATTACTTTGTAGTATGTCAGGTTAGTAATTATCTGCCTTGTTATATTCTCCAATTAGTAGTTGGATTTAATTCGAATATTATGTATGTGTAGGTGGTCAGTCTAAAGCCCAGTGGGATGATGTTACTGGAGGAACACCATTGACTTTTGTCAAGGACTGTGTAACTTTTACAACAACTTTATCTGCAAGATTTTGGTTGATAGACTGTAGAAACGTTAGTCAAGTCAAAAACATTGCAACACAACTCTTCATTGAAGCTAACTATGTTCCATTCATGGCAAAGTAAATAATTTATTAATAAATACATTTAATTGTATATTTTATTTATTTTAATTTATTTTATTTGTTAGGTTTGTAGTGTTTGCTAAAAGAACAGATGTTATGGAGGCACGTCTTAGAGTATTTTGCATGACAGATGATAAAGAAGAAAAAACATTAGAAAACCAAGAGCACTTTGTTGAAGTAGCTAAAAGCAGAGATGTTGAAGTGTTGCAAAATAAAAATATATTTGTAGAATTTGGTGGTAATTTATTACCTATATTTAAAACGGGTGAACAACTAGAATTAAATTTCACTGCTTTCCGCGAAAATCGTCTACCATTTACTGTTCGTATACGTGACCTGGAGGATACTAATGTTGCGCGGATTCTATTTATGCGTGAGCCCAAAGTAAATCGAGGTGATCCTGCACAAACACCTTTATGTGTATTGAACGTGACCGTTCCCGAAGATATTGTTAATGTGACAACCAAATCTGAATCAGATCTATTAAGTCTTGATCAAAGTTATAATTTTTATGATAATGGTTTTGGTATGTTACTTAACATTTTTTTACTATACACTTATAATGTCTTATAAATAATAATTTTTTAATTTGTAGAACAAATTGATACGATACGTAGAGCAGATATTCGTTTATCAGATATTTCAAACATGCTGGGTGATAATTGGCCATCTTTAGCAGCTGAACTAGGGATTCTTCAATCAGACATCAGTATTATCCAATCAGAATACCCTGGTAACACCCAACGACAGGCTATGGTCATGCTTAGGTTGTGGTTACAAACATTTGGACAACAAGCTACTGGGAATTCCCTAGAAAAGGCATTGCGAACAATCAATCGTGAAGATATAGTGAATTTGTGTATACACAATATTGAGATTGTAACTGATGATATGGAAAAAGCGGTAGCAAAAGTACAATTAGATCAGTCTGGATTTGATTCTCTAAAAGAGGAATTAGGACCATCGAGAGATGGATCTCTTGGTCGAAAAACTTCTCTTTCTAATCATAAGGTGTTTAATATTGATTGGTTAATAAATTTGTTTTTATATGAATCAATAATAATATTTTGTTTATAGAAAGTCAAACAAGTAGAGTCAAATAATATTAATCAATCCATGAATGTTGATGAAGAGTTAATAAGTGCTCTAAACAAACAGATGGTAGTTGATAAGATTGTGGTTAAACCCAAAACACTAGGTAAGTTGTTGGAAATCTATTAATTGATATTATTTTTTTAACATATTAAAATTTTATATGTTTAACAGATGATAAATATGCTGCAGAAGTTAAGGAATATGATTCTAAGACACCCAATGGAGTATCATGCAAAGTAAGCACACCTCCACCAAGCCCAACTGAGCAATCTGACAAAACTGATAAAAGTAAGCTTAATATATTATAATTTTTAAAAGTATTGTTGATTATTTTAAATATTTTTTTTAGGCAAAGCTGCTTCAAATAATTATGACAGTGATGTTTCAGAAGTAGTTGATGAGAACATTCTGTAACACTTGGATTATCAAGTAATTAGGTAATTGATGTCCCTCCCCTTATTAGGATCACATAACAAAAATGTTAGTTAATATTATGAGTTATTATTACTCGTAAATTAATCATTTTTCGCTATTGCACACAATTAAAAAAAAAATATTAATGCTGATTGTTTTTTCTTTTCTTTTTTTATAGAAAATTATTTAACTATATTCTAACCAAGCTTAACTGCTTAATTATGTTTGTATCAAGTGCTAACTTGATTTATAAAATGGTTAAGTTATTTTTCTTTTCTTTTTTGAAATTTTACCTATATGTATTTATCTAAGTATTGTATTTGCATTGTTTAAATTGTATTCCTGGTTCGTGACCTTTTTTTACATCTAATTTGTTGTTATTATTTTTACCTTTAAGATTTATTTAATTTAATTAATTTTTGTTTTTTTTTCTTGTCCATTTTCCATTTGTATACAAAGGTTAAGTACTAAATTCTGTTTAATTTATTTATTTGTGCATGACGAAATTCTAAATTATTTATATATATTATGTAATATATATTTATACATAAAGAAAAAAAAAATAAAACTATTGTAATTATTGTGAAGAACCTTGCTAGTACATACATATTATTTCGTTGATAAATTGTTTATTGTTTGGAAGACAATTGGGTGCTTGATTGTCTTTTGATAAGTAAAAATAATGTATCTCAAAAATATAAAATAAATGGTGAAGTTATGGTGATATTATGTTTAACACGTCGTATGCGGGTCACATGTTACGTACAAAATTACAATATATTGTGTATTTTCCTCCTTGGAAATTATGTAAGGTGGCGGTTTCCATTACACAGTCCAGTCTAATCTAGACAATGAATACTTCATCGCATTTTCATAATAATAATGATAATAATAATAGTTTTAACAATAATAATATGTACAGTCCTGAAGTATAGTCGGCATTAGATTTGGCGGTAGTATTTTGCTTCACGCTGCGACTGACCGCTTCAGAACTCTGAGTCCCAGCCGGATGATTCATCGGGTGGAGTGTCTCCGTCTTCTGGATAAATATCAAAATTCGAAGAATCTAGTGGACTGTTGATCTGTAACAATAGTTAAAAACACGATATAAACAATATAAATGTATTGGGTATGTTAGCTACTCAGCCATATGGTGTTTTACTGTCGATGCAAAAAACTTACGTTAGGCACAATGGGTGGAATTATATTCTTGTTTCTTAAACCGATCCAGTCGAAACCTTTAAACCATCTAAAAAATAAATTATAAAAATATTTATACTCGGTTATTTCGATGGTACCCGAAAGTCAATACAATTCAAGTCAGTGCTCTGCCATCATGTCTTTATTTTTTTAAATAGTCTACTTACTCATGTCGTCTGATATCTTGTATGCCGCCCTTTTGGTAGCCAATCCTTTCCGTTGGATCGCTTCGGCACAGCTGTTTCACCAGACCTTGAGTCATTTTGTTCATCTGTCTCGGGAAGTTGACGGCCCCAATGCCTTTCAATATTGCATTGTAAATGTCCATTGGTTCATTCCCGCTAAACGGTGGTCTGTAAAACAGACGAAAAATATCAATATGTATACATATTGCGGTTTAATAACGTAAATGAGAGGAGAGGTGGACGTTGTATTTACACTTTACAACCTCTCAAAAACAAAAAAAAAATCAATCGAAATAAAAGGTAGAAAAGTTGATACTGCTCCAATATACATAAGGTATCTAGTATAACTCGTTATTGAGTAAATCATTAAAATGGATTTTGTTAAATTTGAATTTATTTTAGTATTATATAAAAATTAAATATTTAATTAAATTTTAATCTTTGCCTTGGCTCTTACTCTTACCCCTTGATCCAAAGCTTATCAACTAATGAAACTTCTGGTAATCTTCCAAGACACCTAGTTTTAGCACAGATGGTATAGAATACTAGAATGTAGATAATTGTTAAACTAATATTAATTAACTAATAACTAAAGCGCGGATTTTTATGCACTTAAAAGTATCGAAATATATGGCATATAATATGCAGTAAAAACTAAAAATCATGAAAATATGCAAAAATATGCAAGAATTTTTTATTTATTTAAAATTTACAATAAAACTTATAATAATTAATTACTTAAATACTTAATAATAAACAGTTTAGGGAATTTTCTAAACTTAATTTATTTTTAAAATTTTATTTATTATTAAAATGAATAATCATATGCATTTTAAGTTTTTCTTCTGTGAAGCTGTATCGTTTATCGATTAACATATTTTTAAAGACTGAGAACGAACGTTTGACGTCAACCGAAGTTATTGGGGCATATTTGAAGCAACTTAGTATTGTCGGATCTTGATAAAGATCTTTAAGCTGAACGTTTTCGCCTAATAACACTGAATTAATTTTTCGTAGAATTTTCAGACCTTCATTTTTATTGGAAAGCTCGTTTAATTTTGTTGTAAGTGTTACACCTTTCGATCCAGAAATAGAATGCATTTTTTCTTTCGTTTCGTCAATTATCGAAAAGCTTAGATGTAAAGTTATATTTCGAGTTTCCAGTTTTTTTTATGAATATCACTAAAAATGCCAAATGAGTAGATATAAATTTTAAATCATTCTACTTGACAAAATATTATCTTATACATTTTTTAAAATTTTTTTAAATTTTCGCTTCAATATACAATACATTTTGAATTTTGCCAAAATATGCAAAAATATGCAATAACCTTTAAATATGCAGGAATATGCAAAAAAAAAATTTCACCATTAGCTGCAAATTATGATAATTCGTGGAGATAACTGACAAAAATCCAAAAATATTAAAAGGAAAAAAATATGCAATTGCATAGAAATCCGTGCTCTACTAATAACAAAAATAAAGCTAAGTAACCTAACGTTGCTGCTTTCGTCAAATTTAATGTAAAACAATTTCACTTAGTTTATATACTCCTCATTGTATCTGTAGTATACCTAGTTTTTATAAGTTATTTTTGAAGTTCACAATTTTATTTTTGTGCTCAATCGGTGTTCAAACTAACACGTTTTGTTGATATTCTTAGCGCACACTAGTAACTACATTTCACAATATATTATACATATTTCATGTTATAGTAGGTAATTATTGAAAAAAAAAACTCGTAAACCACGTATAAAAAATATTGGTTCTTACAATAATTTAATATAAATTTCGATTCCGGTACACAATTACACCGGCTCTTGTCGGTTCGATTCCTGCCTTTGAACTTTACAATTATTTATAAGATAGGGTACCGCGCAGACAAGTTGTACTTACATTCCAGCCAACAGTTCGTACACGAGTATTCCCAGAGCCCAAAAGTCTACGGCTCGGTCGTGGCCCTTGTTCAGCACAACTTCTGGAGCCACATACTCGGGCGTGCCGCAGAATGTCCATGTCTTTTTGCCTCGTGGTTGTAACCTTTTGGCAAAGCCGAAGTCCACCTGCCGACGAAAGAAAACATTTTCAACTATATTGTGTATAATAATATGTTTTATGACAGAACTGGTTTGGAACAGTAAAAATAAAGTACGACGAAATATTGGGATCAATATATTTTGGGGAGGAGATGGTCACATTTCTCTCGCAACGAGCACAATAATTATAACCTTGAGCCATCAGTGCGAACATTATCTAACTGCATAAGCAGACGACAGACGTATACACAGCGATACAGATTCAGTTGTGTTAATTTTTAATCGGACTTTATGAGTTGTGATAGTGTATTCGTGTAAATCACATTTCACATTTTGTTATTAGGTACTCGTATTTATACCTATTTTCATTTAGCCGGGTGAAAGACTAAGTTTTGAATGGCCGAATACGAAATGATGTTTACGTCGATAATAAAATTGTACAATATTTCAGAAACCGCGCATTTCGTCGATAACAGTGGTGTAGGTACCTAGAGGTAGTCTGACCGCGACTCACCGCTACCATTGTTACGCATTGTTATTAATATAGGTACGTATAGAAGAGCTTCGATACCCACTGGTTTTTGACGAAAACATAATTATCGTACCAATAAAATTAGTGATGTGATAGAAAAAATGAGAAATGCATTTTTAATTCGTTTTAAAGTTTAAGCGAGACAATTTTACTACTTTTTAAAATATCGACTCCAAGTCTCTAATCTTCCTCTTCAATTTGATTTTAAAACGCATAAATTGTTAAATTCTCAAACGGTGATTAGGTGCACAGAATCGAATAAGGAATATTAAAAAATCGGGACGATCGATTTCAAGTAACTTTCATAGCGAATTTAAGTATGTTTTCAGATTTCTTATCGCATAAATATAGTTAAGTATCAGTTTTGTCAATTATGTCGGTACGTTAAACAAAAAGTGTATGCTTTTAACTCGTAAGGTTAAACACTCACATTAATGGTATTACTAGGCACACATTTACAAAAGTATACACGTTCTTGCGTTCTTGGAAAATTGTTTTTATTGAATTTCTTAAAAATGATCAGTATCAAATATCCCCTTCGTTTTGTAAAAAAGCGATCGTGTTTATTTTTCGCAGGTACCTAATGTGTCTTATGTTTGCGCTTACATGCAGAAAAATTGTAATCACGTTTGATTTAATAATCTATGTTTAATGATTACTGGTTAATTGCATCGCATATTTATAATAATATCCACAGTCATGGGCGAATCCAGGGGGGGGGCACTGGTGGCAAGTGTCACCCCCGTTGGAAAAAAATAATAAAAATTTTAGTATCAACATTTTTTTTTTGTGGGGAGGATATATATCTATATTATAACATTTTTCCTATAAAGTGCCCCAACCGTAAATACATGCTGGATCCGCCCTTGTCCACAGTCCACACTGAAAACTTCAAATGGTGGTTTTAACCAATGTTCGCATGCTGTAGTCTTTCCTGATTTTTGTCGTTAGCGTATACACGGGCACGTGTATCATGTAGGTATTCAATATCGGCGCATACTAGTTGCCTCCCATCCTTATCGAAAATAAAAAGGTTAATTTACACTAGTTGCCTCCGATTGCCAAGTAGTTCATAATTATATACGAGTTGCCTCCCATATAGAATTAACTAGTGGTTTATAAACTTCACTAAACAGTTCCACATAAATAGGTAATGTTTATTCATTATTAAGAATATCAGAGTTGGTTAAAACAATAATAATATAAAAATAATCAATAAAAATAAAACATATTATATTACTTATTAAAAATATATAGTGCAGTTAAAAACATCAGCCTTAGGTTTAATAATATGTAGAATAATATTATAATAGTATTTTTAGACAAACATTTGCTGTCTGGGGTACGTCGGGAGGCAACTCGTATAAAAATTATTGACCTTTTTGATTTCGGGAGGCAACTAGTGTGTCCCCTTCAATATTCATGTGGCCAGTTGTGTTCGTAAATTGCGTTATATGTTTTTGACTAACTGTATTGCACACATATTTTGACAAATAAATGGACGTGTTTATGATTTGTGCCACGGATAAAAATTAATACTCATAAATGTCACGATAAATAATTATTTTGTCGAATTTAAATTTTAGGTATTTTATAATGTCAATAAAAATCAAATAAGTTAAAGGAATTATCATTTACGATAATTTAGAGATAACTAAATGCATTAAATATTGTCTTTTAGATTACTATGCATGTTTTAATAAAATTAAAAACCGCATAGTTTATTAACCGCTTAACCACATATCCATACGGCGAAGTAATTGAACATTTTAAACTATTTGATGTGCTATATATATACCGGACACGGGTAACGAGTTACCCACATGGATTTTATGGAATACGCTGAAAGTGTAAAAACGATATTTGGATTTAATTTCTTTCGTGTTCGCGTAAGTCTACCGAAGTACCGAATTCACAACTACGTCGTCAGTCAGTTCTTTCGTGTCGTGTTAAAAGTTGAACTCGACCCAACTCTACAAATGTCTTGATAATTCATGGTTAGTGAATACCAATAATACCATGGTTGCAAATTACAATGGTCAATCAAAATACGATAAAAGGCTCACGATACGACTGACGAAGTAGCTGATTGTTCAATTCGTGTTATCGATCACATTGATTACTACAGGTTACCGTGAAGTTGAAATATTCCAACTTGATCGCCACATGTGGTTATGGTGTTTACCACTTTACCTCGTAAAAAAAACAGTGACTATTATTAAACATAATGTACCAAACATAGATTACCAAAACCACGAAATACGTCATACGGTAATAGTTAAGGAATATTTGAAATAACGTCTTGATATGAGTAACTTAAAGGAGATTTACAACTCGTCGCGTAGTGTAAAATATTTTTTTCTGATTGGCTCATCAACATTTGGCGATAAAAATTTAATAGCATTTACCACCATGAAGTTAAATATATTCAACTATTAATTTGGTGGTTATATTCAGGTAAAATTGTTCACTAATTAGATAGCATGATGATAATTCTAATAATATGTATTTTAGTATATTTATTATTTTTATTTTGTTTGATTACATTATTATCCTGGAATACACACAGCACGACAATTGTGAACTATCTTTAAGCCCCTTCGAGAAGCAATGTAATCCGTATTACATGGGATTTACTGAGTTAGTGTTGAATGGTATCTAGATAAAAATGTTATATTTTATTTCGAAACTGACCAGTTTCACGAAACCCTGCCGGTCGAGCAACAGGTTTTCCGGCTTCAAGTCCCTGTAGACAACGTCGATTCCGTGCAAGTAGTCCAGTGCTTCTACAACGCACGCGATCACGAAACACGCTGCATTGTCGTCGAAACACTTCCGGTCCCGGAGGAGTGTCCACACCTCGCCACCCAGACAAGCCTCCATTAGCATGTACACATATCTGTTGTCTTTATACGTCTTGTACAGTCTATAAGGTAAACGATCGGCAGATTAATATTGTAGCCTAATCATAACACTATATATTTCGTTTGACGACTTGGTTATAAAACAAATAAATACCGTTGTACATATGTTATTATTGTTTTTCCATAATAACAAATAATACCGTGTGGGTTAATAATATGATAATATTATATTATTATTATACCCCATGTATAAAACGTGTATCGGTATATAGTGGCGTACACAGGATTGTTTCATGAGGGGGGTTTACAGGAGGTAGCGAAAAATAATAATTCCGTTCTACAATAGGTATAAGTAATTACAGTAATTTTTTCAGGGGGAGGGGGTTAGATCCTTAATGTCACCATCGGTACGCCACTGGCGGTATAGTGGTTCGGTGGTGGATAGACGAATCTGTTAAAAACGAATTCATCGCGAGGAAAATATTTCTGAATTAAACTTATGACTAAAGAGCACGGATTCACAGATTAGTATTCTCTAAAAAGTATCACAGCATGCCATATAATTAACCATATTGTTTAAAAAAGTTTACAAAGTTAATTCGTTTATTAAATATTTATTAATTAGAAACTTAATACGAATATTTTTTTCAGTGAAACTGTTTTACTAAGCTTATTTCTTGTTAAGAACATGGTTTATTATTTATTAATTGATAAAGGGTTACCAAAAATGACAGGTCCGTAGTAAATTAATTTATTAGAATTTTCTACTTTGCGAAATATTATTTTACACCTATATTACGTATGAAAGCAATAGTTATATAATTTAATTTCATTTAAATATGCAATACATTCAAAATTTTGTTAACATTTTCGCCAAAAAAAAAAAAAAAAAAAAAATTGTCATTAGAAATAATAAACTTACAAAAATTAAAAATATATAATTTCAAAATAATTTATGTTCTAAATTTATATCGTAAATAAAAACTTAATGAAATAATATCTATATATTTTAATTCATTTTAGATTAATACTTACTTGCCGATAAATGGACTTGTGCACGATTCCAAAATGGTTTTCTCGTTGTACACGTGTTCCTGTTGCTGCATGTCCACTATTTGTTGTTTTTTTAGTTTCTTCATCGCATACGATCGGCTTTTATCTAGCTTCATACACACTAAATCGACTCTGCCAAAGCCACCCACTCCAATCGTGGCAATAGTTTCGAAATCATTCAGCTCCACTCGGAATAGTTCCGGGTATAATGTTTCTGCAATACGGAGTTTATGTATTTAAAAGTAAAGTATTTCACTGACATTTTCTTGATCAAATATTGTAATTTTCTATTTAAAATTTTTTTTTTTTTAATAAAATAATTAGTAGTTTAAAATATATTTATCACTTCTTACATACGTATAGTATTTATACATTTTAAGTATTTTTTAGGTTTTTTTTTTAAATTTCATTGTTAACAATAACCATAGCTATACTTGAGAGTTATAAACATTAATTATGAAAATGTGCATTATGGTTAAACAAACCAGAATCCCAGGACCCCACGATTACCTTGCAGTGTGTTATTAATACTTTTAAAATGTATTTTACACAATTGTGTGTTGTATATTATGCTTATTGTAAAATCTATCTTGTGCGACGTTATTGTGATAACAATAATTTGTAGGTACTCACTTGTCTTGCTTTCTACTGATAACTGGACCGAGGGTTTTCGTGGATGTTCTGTGTACTTTTTGTTTTTTAGTTCCTCTAGATTGCCGATAAAATGCACAAAAGGCCTATTCATACATAACAATGAATTTTGTTATTATTTCTTTACTCTATAAACATATTATAGGCTTTATAATTTTATTTTTCGATAAATCGTCAAATGTTTAACGTTTTTATATACACATACGCAATACGCTCACACACAGCAAACACATTTTATGAATTGACGGCATATATTATTGCAAAGATCTAAAGTGTATAGTTATAATAATAATCAAAGTTTAGTTAAAAAAATAAAATAGTAATCTATTAACTCTCTGTCCAGCGTGAGACATTCAGCTCCCGGGTGCATGGCCACGACGTTGGCAGTCCTCTTATCTTTTTTTAACAGAGCAACTTCCCCAAAAAATTCCCCTTGTTCCAAAACTCCAAATTCTTCTTCTTCATATTCACCTGAAAATTATTTAATTTAATTATGTCTTGGAATTTTGAAGAGTGACAGTTGGTTGTGTATCAATGAAGTGTATTAAGTATATAATGTATTTATATTTAAATTTATATTAATTATGTATTTATTTTAATGAACGCGAATTACAGATAAGGACCGGTATTAGAATTAGATTTTTTTCGAATATAACCATAGACTCATAATATATAACTTCTGTTTATTTAATTTATAACACAAATATCGGCTGTAGCTTATAAGCGCAAAATATGATCCAAAGTTCAAACGCAACCTAAAAGTGTAAAAATAAATACTCCATAAGCGCAAAAAAAAATAATATCTTATTAACAAATCATAATCACAAATAAATTTTAAAAAAATTAAGTGTATTTTATAAATTAGATATAAGTTTATACTGTACTATAATATATTATATAGTTATCTTAAATGATTATCAACCTTCACCGTAATTTGTTGTGATAAAATATGATGCGATAATACTAAGCTTTTACTGAATTCGATCACTGTTGATGTATTTTTGAATAATAAAAATACTACATATTTAATTAAAATGAATAATTTAAGTTAAAAATTAACACAATATTTATTTTTGTGCTTTTATCTCACTAATAAGGTACCAAAGTGCGAAATGAATTTGCGTTTTTAGTCTATCGAAAAAAAATAGACGATTTGCGCTCTTGGATTTCACCGCAAATATCGATATAAATTGATTTTTTTAAATACTACACCTATATTATTTTTTTCAGAGAATTTAAATTTTAAATGAGTACTTAATTTGGTTATTCTAGTTTAGGAGGATATCTACCTCTAATATTATAAAATAAATTCTTAATTAGACATTTAGATCACTGATACTTACACGGTGGGTATGCATATTTACGGTGTTTGTATTAGTATATTACTATATTAGTATATTCAATTAGTATTAATTTGCAAAATATTAATAATTTAACACTTAAAGTGACATAACGAACTAGCCTTTATTGGTCTTTGTGACTTTTACTCGTCCTTCGCTCAGTATGTAGAACTTGTCACCAAGAGTGTCCTGTTTTATGATGTAGTGCCCTTCCGGATAAAATTCCTGAAAAAACAGTTCCAAATTTATAAGTTAATTACGATCATTAATTAAGAACGTATTCTGCGTAAAACATGTGCTATTGCACGAATTTCTGTAGGTATACCCTTGATAGATATTATACGTTTTAAAAACTTTTAAAAAAGTCAAATATGTTGAGTGTAACATAAATTTCCGTGTGCATTAGACAATACGTTTATACGCTAAAGCTAAAAGGTCGTTAGAATTCCGACCCTTTATTAAAGCATGAGTAAATCTCAAAGTTTGTTTTTATTCGTAATATATTGTATATACCGATATAATACTTAATATTAATATAACTTATTATTTAAAATAGTTTTCGTTACGCAAATGGTTTTTAAGTAATTTGTTGCTATAATTTAATATTTTTATGGAAACGACAATTGATTAAATGTTCATTTTAAAATACAGATAATAGTGTTTAAATACATAAAGCATTTATAAAGTAATTTAGTTAATTTATTTGTGTCTATTGTTAATAAATATTTTATAGTCATAATATAACAATTGATAACATAATTAATTAAAAAAAAAAAAAAAATTGATTTTTATAAATATTTACTAATCTTATGAGTAGAGAATTACATTTTTAAAAATAATTTAAGTTTAAATTAAATAATCTGCAAATAACTAGCAAGATTTAATTATTATAATATGGAAATGATTAGTAATAAATAATAATATAGTATTCACTATTCATATATTTTTGTAAGTACGCGTATGAATATCGTAACTTAAATAGCCTATATATTTATATAAAAATATATTATAATTTTTTTACAATAAAATAATTTATTTTAATTGTGTGGCTATGGTGTTGAGGCAATGGAAGGAGAAGGTTGTTGGTTAATTATTTACATAATACCTTTTTGCTATTATAAGTAACCTTTAATGTAGGCACCTTTAACTAATATTAAGGTGATATGTTGATTATTTTTATATTTTTAATACTGGGCAAGTGTGTATGAAGCTTATATACATTTTTACTAAATACTGAACAATTTATTGGTAGAATATGAGTATATGATGTATTGGTATCGATTACAACAAATATTTATTTATTTTAATATGATTACTATAGTTGAGCGAGAGTGTCGTACCTCTTTTAAGACGTCAGCGATTTTTGATAAAAATTCTTCGTTGAGATCTTTCATTAATGGTACGCTTTTCAAAAATCCTACTCGTTCGTCAAATCGTTTCATAGCAGAAGTCTTCATGATTTGCTGATACGCTACTCTTTCCAAAGTCCACACCTTAACATCTTGGGTGGCTAGAAACAAATACATAAACAATTTCAAGGAATTATAGAATTTCTAAATCTCATAACATGTTTAATATTAAAATAATAAAATATAATATGAAAAAATTTGAATTCGTCAGTCAACTATATCACCTACTCAGTTACCTCTCACCGATGCGGTCCGTGGACAGTTGTAAAGTATGGCCATCTCGCCAAACACTTCACCAGGTCCAATGGAATCTACCACACGTCCGCTTTGGATTACGTCGAACTTTCCTTCGTCGGCCACGTACAAACAACATCCTGCGTAGTATAATAATAGCGTTTAAATATTATTTAAAATTGTTTCAAACATGATGGTTAAAAATAACTGGGAAGTTTTTTTATTAGACAAATATATAAATTATATAACCTAACCTGGATCGCCTTTTCTGATAACGTATGCCCCAGCTTCGAAATCTTTCGGGTACATGACGTCTACAATTTCGGAAATTTGGTTGGTGTTCAAATTTTTCAAAAACTGATTTTTGCACAGTGCTTGTTTAATTAGATGTTTGGTTCTGAAATCAGCATCTGGTACAATATATGACCGCGTATACACAATATAATATAATGATAATAAAAAGGTCTTACTTAATAGGTTTTGACTGTTTGGGAAACGATATAGGCATTTCTGAAGAAGTCGAACATTCTCCAGACACTCCTTTTTTTTTGTCCAGTCGGTGTTGTAACGACTGCGCCGGTGGCAAGAGAAATTGATTTGATACTGCATTCTCGAGCATGTTCTATGCAAACAAAGTCCAAATAAACATGAATTCAGAGAATTATTAAATTGATTTATCGATGTCAATAAGGTACAGTGACTATACATTATAATCTACATAATTACTACTTTATTAATATATATATTTTTAACAAAAATATTAAATTTTACTAATCGTAATTGTGTATAAACTGATGTCATTTTTATAAATTTTGAGAAAGTTTCGATAGTTTAAAGTATGATTTATTATAATAATGAATCTTAGAACATGCAATCCACTTTAAATGGGTTAGATCCTTCTTAAAGAATTCAGATTGTTAAATATAAAAATGTTATTTCAGAAAGTATAAATGTTTTGTCCAGCGTACCTCAAAGTTACCTATTGTTCATTTACTTTTTTTTTGTTATTATTTATAATTTATAAATGATGTACCTATTCGAAAAAATAAAAACAGTATAAATTCTCAATACTTTCCGGTGATAAATAGTTGATTAAATAAATGAAATGTCATGATATATTTTTATTAACGCAAAATGATATAAGTATTTTTTTGATAGGTGTAATAATTTTATATTAATCATTATATTTAACATTAGTTCGTCCTTACCTAGAATATGCTTATTATTCTGAATCAATTTCAAAACCATTACGACTAATATCAGGAATCTAACATTTGTTCTAATTAGTTCTATTCATCCTTCTAATGATTACACTAAAAAATAAACGAATCAATCCTCACATTATCTTTAGAACTGGCTACATGCACGCTATTGATAATACAATTTGACTATTTATTTCTTTTATAATATTTGAATTATTATTATGAATTTTAAAATTACTATTTAAACTAAGTTTATGTTAAAGTTTAATGTATTTAAATTTCTTGTAAATTTGATTTGTTTTCGTGAATAAATTATTATTATAATGTTATACCAGTAATAAGGTAGTTCCAATGGTTTTGCAACTGCACAGGTAAAACTGAGATAAGACAATCGTCAATCAGTGAGGGTTTTATTTGTACCAGTTTAAAATTTTTAATTATATTGTTACAATAATTATATACTACTTGTATAATAATATTACTATTTGACGATTTTCAATCGGCTTTGAAGTGTTTTGGAGTGCAGAAAAATTATTTTTATAGAAAAAAACTAAATTTTTTATATTTTGTTATATATTTAAAATTTTTATATTTTTAACATTTATTACCAACCCACCCATTTTGACAAAAAAAATATTTTTTGACATATTACTGCATACACGCACATGTTAAATTAGGTTTCTATATGTCTTCCAAGTGAAATGTCAAATGTGGATAACAATTATATTTCATGTTTGACAGCGTTATTGTCTGCTATCTTTCTGCCATCGTGCTTTATAAAATTTATCACTCCGTCACTAGGTGACTGTCTGTAATACTATATGATATTTTTTATATTTCAATATAAAACATTAAAATAATGATAAGTACTAAATAATAATAATAATAATAATAAATTGTTTCTAATTAATATTAACATAGTTAACATCTAATATTTTATAATGATACGTAGAAAAAAATAAGATAGTTTTCTAATGATCCTTAAATGTCACACTTTTTATTTGTTTTGACAATAATTTTTGTTATAAAAATTGAATGCTTGTAGCCATGGGGGGATTTATCCCCTTGATTCCTCCCCACCTCGTAATTACGTCACTGTATTATAGTAACGATAGCCATTCAGATACTTACATGATTAAAACATAATAAAATACAATTAACTATTAAGTAAACAAAGTATTTACAGTATTTTTATGAATAAATCACTAATCAATAATTAATTAATTTGCACGTAAGATATTATAGAAATACAGAGAAGTATTAATCATGATTCATGATTCATAAGTATTTTAAATTTTAAATTAAAGACTGAATTTTAGGTCACTTGGTGGTAGGTTGATAATTTTATACAGTTTGGTTGAGATAACAAACGTGTACCGGAAATAGTGACGTAGCTCTTTATTTTTATTTATACTTTAAATAAATCTATATATATACGTAATATTATTGCAAACCGGCAATGCCAGTATCCGTGCGAATCGCAGATATCATTCGAGACATAGCTAATATATGCAACTCTATCAACGTTCGTGTAGATAACATACAATGCAAGTTCAGTAGTATAAATTTAATTCATTTTATGTGTATTTTTTTTTTATATGCAACTTCAAAGCATTGGTTTTATTTTATTTTTTTACTTGATAACTTTTTATGAGGGAATGAAATTATACTTATGCAGTTTTGCTCTTCTCTTGCATCATACTAATAATAATATATCAATGTCCCGGGGGGGGGGGGGGGAAACGGCAAGCTTTCCACAGCTCATTCACTGTTTTCGACGACATTTACGTCAGACATTGTTACGTATATTTTTAACGTGATGAAATCTTATTATAGCAGAACATTCAACTCGCTGATAATCAGAAATTTTAAGCCTAAGTGGGTCAATAACTAGAGCGGCAGATATATGCATTGGTGCAGGAAGCTATTTTGTGATATATTAACCATTATTCAACTTAAGCTGTAGCCGGTAGCTATGCGTATACACACAAGGATATAAGTGGATTAAATACAATACTATATTATTATTATATTCACCATTCGTCGAAAATTGTTTGTGAGTGTTTACACAATATTATATATTTTAATTATCATACCTACCAAATATTATACATTTGTAATAATATTTTATTTATGTTCGGAAGACTTAGCATTGTACATTTATCTGTACGATACGTAAACACATTGCCGTAATAAGCTAAAACACAACAACTCTCACCTCCTCCTTGAAAAATTAATAATAATAAAACATAAAAATGACGATTAATACAAATATACGTTTATTATAGTGGCTTGCGGCATTTTAGTTTATACGAGGTCATCATATGTATAATAGCGTTATTTATGTTCTTCTATGCGTGCGTGTAAAATATATTAATTTTTCGTGTTTTGAAAATGAATGGTTAAATGAAATAAAAGAAAACTAGTACAGACCAATTGATTTTATTTTATACCAGAAAAAGTTGCATAGTTTTGCAAAGTGCAGAGTATGAGTACGATGTAAGCGTCTACGATTTACCTCAACATTTAAAAAATATTATGGTCAATCTCAAAAAACTCAAATTTTGGTTTTATGTTTATTGGTGGATAAATGAGATTGTGTTATTAGTTTTGAGGTTAGAACATATAATATTGAAATTTTTCAAAAATCTAATGAAACATTTTTTGTTACTCTTTAAAAGTTGGAAAAATTGAGATTGATTATGATTACTCTTAATAAAGGACTAGTCGTTGATCATAGTATATATGTTTATGTCGTGCTGTTATGTGTGTTTAGGTATGTGTTGATAGTTGTACCTATAGTCATTAGTAAAATATTTAACAGTAACGTGGCGAAAAAGGTGTTTAGCAATGAAATCTCTGTATTTATTTAAAAGGGTGACTCGACACGACGAATCTACTTATCTTGCTGTAAGTTAAACAAAATTCCATTTACAGTTATTTATATAACCATTTTATTCTTGATAGGTTAAATAGAGATTACAGGTAGCTATAATACTTATATAGTATATTACTTATGCATAATATTATGTTCTCCAACCATGTAATTCGGATTATTTGGATTATTTTTATAAACTTTTAGTTTTTGTTTATATATATTTTATAGTTTAATGTTGCACGTTCTTATAGAAGAATATATAATATTTTAATACAAAATTTACTACTAAAATTTATCAAAAATTTCGTATTACTTAGTATTTGTGAATCTAGTACGAATAAATATTTGATAATATGACTTATTTCAAACAACAAACCAGATAATGTTTGACTACGCATTATGATATATATAAGCTGTATATTTTAGGCGATTTAAACCTTGGGGATTATTAGACAACGAGGTCGGGATTTTCGACACCGATTTATTCGTGTTTGGGCGTCGAATACAAAACGATATTACTACAGCAGGCAATCGTCATTGAGTTGGTCACGCCACTGCGGTTTGGGGGTACGTTCGTGTCATGGTCGTAGGCAAGCGGGAAGCCGGTGCACGATCATATGATATCAGACTCACGCGTATGTCTTCGACGGCCCTGCCCAATTGTTCTATGGTCCGATCCTTTTCGTCCATGGCCGTTTTGAGGCGCTCCACGTCCCGGGTCAATTCGTTTAAGACAGCGGAGGAAGTGGCGGTGGTGGCAGTCATCTTCAGGTCGGATACGCCACTGCGGCCTGACTCAGTCGTTTTCCGACTGTCTACGTAGGCACCGCCACCACCAGAAATCGCGTTGCCCATGAACAACAGCAGCGCGTGGCACATGCCGTCCTCCTGCATTATTAATTATGATTATGATTATTTTATTCTACCTGCGGGTCATCAACTGTTTGTCCGACTTACGTGCGTGCGCCCGGTTACCCCGGTATATGTAACCTACGAACGGTGATTATTCGCTTAAATATTATACCACAGTCGCGATTGTCGTGCTACGACTCTTCACCATATACTCTGTGCATCACAACAGTGCAACTGGTATCCACTTGATGCGGGTACACCTCCACCACCTTCTATCCGACTGTCGGCCATGCGACGCATACCCACTGAGTGTGTATAAATTATAAAATGTCGTATAATAACTATTATCTCTGGTGCCGTTATCGTGGTCGTCCCCTATTTATATATATATATATATGTATATGTATATGTTATGTTATGTTAAAATACGTGCGTACTGCCACTGGTTTTTTTTTTTTTTTAATTGGGTCACGGGCCGCCCACGATCATACGATATTGTAATGTTATACAGGGTATTTTAAATTATGTGCGTGCACTAAAATTCAGCGCAATCTCCACCGGAGCATTTCTATCACGAATATCGTCTATATGCGACCCTGTGGGTAACACTGCATACCTTATGTAATTATTTATTTTTGCCGCATGTACAATATAATATTATGTAGGTTATACGTATTACATATACCTCAGCGATATTGCATGCAAGTGTTAATTTTTTTCCCAAAATACATGAAAAAATATTGTCACCCAAGTTGTTATTAATGCACCTCCACTGCCAATGGCTGCATGGGGCATCGCAAAAACAATATTTCACCGCCGGGCCGTACCGTTGTGAATTACGCGCACTACATCGCATGACTATTATTTTTATGTGAACCTTGCTATATAGTATATAATGATATGTATTATATTTCTCTAAGACAATTGTCGCTTACGTTATTATTTTTGCGTGTATATTTTATTATTATTGTATAAGTTTTGGTACCGTGAAGACGCTAATCTGTTCATAAATGATTTAGGCATATGGAAAGGTTAAATACGACTTTTGTAAAAAGGTAAATTTTTGTTTTAATTTTGTTAAATATTAGATTTCACGAAGAACAATTCAACGTTCAAGATTTATATAACTGAGGTCGGCGAAGGAGATTGTAAAAAAGGATGCATGACCACACATATATGTATAAACTCGATTACTCGAAGTGATTTATTTAACGTAAGATACTCATTATTTTAGAAAACATTAACGTTTTTTTAAAAAAAATTCTTTTATATAATTTTAAGCTGTTAAAAAATAACATTTTGTGAAAAAAACATTATATTTCTACTATTTTTTATATTATAATTGTATTTTTATTTATTCTTTGAAATACAACAAAAGCAAAATGTCAAAGCAGAAAAGCAGAATATTATTCGAAGTATTTAGTCTATATAAACAAAATTCGGAAGTAGTTAAAAGTATTTAAAATTTTGGTGAGCGGAATAGATATACCAACATTTCGAATACCCTTTACACACCTCTTTATCACTTTAAAACTTGTAATTCAAAACTACTGTCAAAATTCGTTTATATAAGCAATGCGTAACTAT